CTCGGGCTAACATGGCCCAAAGTCTCGCAAAGTCTCTTTGATAATACCTTGGTAGCAAAAGGTAATAATAATACCTCGACTCGAGACCAGCAGACCAGCACAAGACACAGAGACACAGACCTGTCCCGCCCGCAATCCCACGCTGTCACCCATTCCTTCGGGGTCCTCGTACCGACTATCTCCGACTTCGGTCCCCAGTAAGCTGAAATTTTCGACCGTCCATTCGTCAAACACCCGACCAGGGGATCCGAAATGCCCACTCTGCTTCACTAAACTCCTACCCGTCATTTGCTGAATGCTGCTTTTTCCGGGGTCTCAAGACACAAAAAAATAAATCGGGCGCCTCCCGGTCAAGCTCCGTTTTAGCACCAGGACCTAGGACCTAGGACCTAGGACCCGACCTGAGCAGCAGCAAAGCAGAGTAGCAGCAGCGCCAGTCACGAAACCGATCCCCCCGTTCGTTTCGTTCGTTCGTTTCCCTTCTCACAATGGAATCATAGCTTTCCCCATAAGCTGGTCCTGTTCCCCAGCTTGCCTTCCTTCTTTGGGTTCCTGTCCATCTGAACTCTTCTTCTACTACTTCTCACCCATCTCCCCTACTCCGCCTCGCCTTCCTTGACTCTCCTTCCCCAACAGGAAAATCGAGACTACCTTAGTTCCGTCCTTTGCATTCGTTCAAGTGAGGTTGTGTGTGCTTTGTTTAGCTCCGGCCGGTTCCCTCCACGACGTCACCCATCCTACAGACGTCACACCTTCTCCAAATTCTGGGCGTATTATTCATTGCTCAGGAAAGCCGTCGCAAAGCGCAAAAGCGACACCGGAAGTACCGCAGCGAACTCAAAGTCGCCGAGAACCTGCTCGTCGCCAGCAGCAGTAGCATATAACGATCTCGAGGCGTCTGGCTCCGACAGCCAACACTCAAATACACACCCTCACAACAAGGCCCGCATGGCTGAGAGGGACACCAGACCAGAGGGGCTCGCTCCCGCAACAACCGTCGCGCCGCCAGACCTCAAGATCAAACCGCCAAACCCGCTGGCGCTCGCCCAAAAAGTCGACATGGAGGCCAAGATGCGCGAGGGCACCAAATGGAACACAAAAAACCTGGGCCCGCGCCTCGGCGTCGACTTCTTCAGCGCCGCATGCGCCGGCACCCTCGTGGCTCCTCTTGTGTCCATCATTGATCGGTAAGGCACCCTCGCAAACACAATCTCCTCCCAAACAAACAGAACAAAAGAAAAAGCTGACCGCAGAACCCGACAGCTCCATCATGGAAAATGCCTCCGGCCGCCGCAGCCTCGGCGACTGCGTAAAGTCCTGCCTCCGCGAACTCCTCCTCCGCCCCCACCACGTCGTCTTCAGCAAGCCCTTCGCCCTCATCTTCGCCCTCTACGGCGGCACCTACCTCACCGCAAACACCCTCGACACCGCCGTCGCGACCGCCCAGAACAAGCCCGCCTCGCACGTCACCGCCGGCACCGCAAAGTTCGCCGCCTCGAGCACCGCCAACATCGGCATCTGCATGTACAAGGACCAGGTCTTCGTCCGCATGTTCGGCCCGCCGGGCGCCACGCCCCGCCCCGTGCCCATGCTCTCCTACGCCCTCTTCGGCCTGCGCGACTGCCTCACCATCTTCGCGAGCTTCAACGTCCCGCCCCGCATGGGCCCCTGGCTGAACGAGCGCATGGGCGAGGAGGTCGCGAAGAAGGTCAGCGGGTTGACCGTCATGCAGTTCGCCGCCCCGGCCATGGTGCAGTTCGTCAGCACGCCGCTGCACCTGCTGGGTCTGGACATCTACAACCGCCCCAGCGCGCCGGCGGCCCTCGTGACGTGGAAGGACCGCTGGCAGGTTGTGGCCAAGAACTGGGGTATCAGCACCATGGCGAGAATCTGCCGTATCATCCCGGCCTACGGTGTTGGTGGGGTTGTCAACCGCAAAGTAAGAGGGAACCTCATGGAGAAACTTTCATGAGTTGGGCGGGGTGTGCGTGTTGTGCGTGTGTGTTTTGAACCTTTGAACGTCTTGATCTGATCTGGAATGCGGCCAACGAATTGGTTTTCTCTTTGGTTGTCAGTATTACCCTTGGGCATAGGTTCATATGGGCGGCGTTCAGGAACTTCAACTTTTGCTTTATGCGTCTGGGGTAGAGAATAGATTGGGGCGGTAAAGACCCTGTCGGTGGAAGCAAGACCGGGGGTACACTTAGACGGCAGACCGCGCGGGAAACCCAGGACTCATGTAGAATATAATGCGCTTTAATGTCTGCAGACGCGCCGACGCGGCGCATGATAGATATCCAAGTCAACAATACATTTCCCTCACATCAGCCCACTCTCCTTGAGCGCTTTCAACACCTCGTCCTCTTCCCAGCGGTGCTTCTTACGCCTGCGCCTCGTGTCTCCCGTGTCAATGTAGTTCTTCCAGAACTTGAGGCCCTCGATACCCTCTTCGCGGCACAGGACCCCGCGCTCTTCAGCCATTTCCAATTCTTCCTCTGCCACGCCGATACTCCAGCCAAATCTCTCGGCGGCATCGCGAGCAGTGACTCCGCGCCCGAATTGCCGCCAGTCCCAGGGCAGCTCTTTTTCAGGTGGGAATTCGTGTAAGTCGTCCAGCCAGGACACCAGACCCTTGATCGTAGTCTCGTCCGTGCGGTCACTGCTCTGAACAACAAGCACACCGCTCTTGAACTTACGAAGCCGGACAGGCAGCTTGAGCGACTCCCACATCTGCGCAGCTTTCTCAAAGTCCATCGGACTAACGAGTTCGACACCGCCACGGGCGCGGTTGAACATGGCCCACAGGTCAACCAGGTTGATGATTCCTCCGGCCTTCTTCAAAACGCCGCGAGCGTCGTCTGTCAAGAACTCTGCGAGATTACGCGCGAGTTCCGACAGGTACAGAGTTTCGGAGCTGCTGCCGCCCACGATGTCTTTTGTAGTGACCAGACCAAGCTGGCTTGCGGATTCGGCCAGAAGCGCGTTGGCTTCGGATGCCGCAGCGCCACTCCCGCCATTCGCTTGTCTTGCAAATCGTTCGGCCAGTGCCACGATCTCCTTAGCAGACGCCATCAAGGCGTCGAGGTCTTCAAAAGCGCTCCCTATCATCACCTCGTTGTTCTTGCGCATGTCGAGACCGCGCTGTTCGAGACCTGCAATGCCAACACCTTTGGGGCGCTCAGGGGCGGCAGCGGTAGCTCTCACGACAGCGCCATTATCATCGATTGTCCGGTTGCTCTGAGGAATAGGTGGAGCACCTTGGAGAAGCCATTTCCGTTGCGTCATCGAGCCTTTCAGCCTTTCGTAAAAGATCTTTTCACCGCCACCTCTGAAGGAGATCTTGACGCTCTCTGCTGTATCCGGCGCAGCAGCATTCGAGTTGAGGGTGGGCCCCGGAGACTCTGTCCGCTGCGTTTGCTCCTGCGCAACTGCTTGTGGTATATCCTGCGATATGAGCGGTGCCCCGCAAATCTCGCACGAGAGAAGAGACGGGTGGTTGAGGAAGGTACATCGAGGGCACTGGAATGTCGCGCTCGGGTCGGAGGACTTTTGCGGGGAGCCTGAAATGTTGGAGGCGGCAGGCCAGGGAGGTAATGATCCCCCATCTTCTGGCCTAGTGGATGTAGGTCGCGGTCGCACTGCGAGAGGCGAGCCGACAGTAGGGCTCGCTGGGGCAGGTGTCCGGCTCGTAGCATTAGATATGGATGCTTTCAACACATGCGCCAAGCTGGGTTTGATGCCACAGGCGAGACATGGCGGCAGAGGAGTATGGATGTTTGCTGTCGTCGGATCGAAGTTGGACGGCACCGGATTGGAGAAACTGCAGATGGTGCACACCCAAGTCGCAGAGGCAGCTGCAGGGTCTGGCGGCGGCCGATATGGACTGTCCGCTCGGGCAGGGGAGCCAGCGCCAGGTCGAGGAGACGAAATGGCAGATGCTCTCGTCTGAAGAGAGGATCGCTTGAGAGGTTTTGGTATCAACGTAATCTTTGCCGATGACTTGAGGAAGCCCGCATAGAATTCGTACCGATCAACATCCTTCAGATCGAGGGCAACGGAGTGTTTGCGCGGCTCTTCCTTGTCGACGTAGCAGATTCGATGGGAGGTCAGGTAGACTTGTCCATTTTGCTGGTGAGGAAGCTTAAACTTGCTAGAAAACAACAACCTTTGTTAGCCATTCGCCCAGCTTTGAGGTCAACTTGAGTGCGGTGGCGTACCCCTCATAGAGCCCGACGTTGTCTTGGACGAACAACAAGACTTCATCCGGAAGATAGGAGGGCCGGAGAGCGGTCGTGAGGTCGATGTGTTTTAGAAACATCCGTCATATCTGTTCGGAGGAAACCCGGGGATAGGACAACATGCGCAAGCACTGCGTCGATCTGAGGATTTGGTGGGGGGGACAACGGGCCGCGAGGTCAGGTACGGTCTCGGGCTGTGGGGAGGGTCGGCGTCCTGCTTGTGGATTGTTCAAGAATCGAACATTATTCTGGCTGAAGAAAAGGCGACTGCTAATGTCAGGTCTGTAAGCTGGAGAAGCAGCACAGGTGCCTAGGTTGATTCAAAGTCGGGATTTGTAACTGATGGCGTAGCTAACTTCAAGGCGTCAGTTTATCTCGCAGAACTACCCCACGGTTGCTGCGAACGCTAACCCGACGGAACGTGGGCGCCTCTTATCGCCGATAAGCCACATCAGCGATAAGACATGCCTTATGTAAGCCGCATTGTCGTCGCGGGCTCAGGCGGCTATTTTGGGCTTGGACACACACATTCTTGGTCCCCACTCCACGCGGTCCCATGCCTGAAATCCCTCGCACACAGACCACCGTCATTTCCACCGCCTTTCACGGAACGTCCCCAACCTCACTTCGTCCATCTCTTTCTCACATCCGCAACACCAACGACCGCCGCCGACCACACGTCGACCCAAAAAGCTCTTGCTTGTCGAAATTCGTCCAACGAACTAATCCACGTCAGAAACAGCCATTTTCACCGCCGACACGATGATGCCCACCAGCTGGCCGGCGCCGCCACCAGGCGTCCCCTACGCGGCACCTCCTGCCAATTACGCCTATCCTCCCAGTGAGTTCCCCCGAGATGGCCTCATCTTTGCTCTTCGCAAGTCCGTTTACTGACTGCACTTTCCAGATCCAGCATACACCGCAGTCCAGGCTCGCCAGAGCTTCGGCCAGTATCCTCCTCCCCCTGCCGCAGCCCCCGTCTACAGCTCGCCATCCCAGACCACGGTAGCCTCCGAACAAAACGCTCAAGTCCCGCCACCTCAACCTCAGCGCAAGGTTGAGTGGCCGCCCTCTGTCCGCGACTATGTCCAAAAGTCCTTTTTGCCTGCCAACATGGATCCCTCTGTGTCTCGCCCCGAGATTGAAGCCAAGCTGAAAGAGACCATCTCCCATCACATGGAAAATGGCACTCTCGAGTCCACCGACTGGACAAACGTGCCGTTTCCTGCCGCTTTGATTAAGAACGAGCGACAAGTCCAGCTGAACTCCACTCCGAGTGCTGCCTTTTCCTATGATGCACGATATGACACTTCGACGCCCAACCCGAAGAAGCGCAAGTCCAATGAATTTACTGCGGATGACAAGACTGTTCCTTGGCGCTCTACTAACAGCAACCGATCCAACGCCCTGGAAGACCGCATCTCTTTCGCGTCCCCCGACAAACGAGCCAGCTTCGACGAACCTCTGCCCAAGTCAAGTAAGTTTCAGAAGCAGTTGGAGAAGCGACAACGCCGTTTCGATGGTGGATATAAGTCATCCTATCGATCGCCCAGTCCTCCGCCTTCAGATGGTCCCGTTGTCGGCACCAGTGAGACCTTGGAGAAGAGGTACCTTCGCTTGACAGCTCCTCCCGTGCCCTCCCAGGTTCGTCCGGAGCGTGTCTTGCACAAGACGATGGATCTCCTGAAGAAGAAGTGGAAGAAAGAGGGCAACTACTCTTACATCTGCGATCAGCTCAAGTCCATGCGTCAAGACCTGACAGTGCAACGGATCAAGAACGACTTCACAGTTTCCGTCTACGAACTCCACGCTCGCATCGCCTTGGAGAAGGGGGACCTTGGTGAGTATAATCAGTGCCAGACCCAGTTGCGTACCCTGTACGCCAAAGGCCTGAAAGGGAACCCCATCGAATTCAAGGCATACCGCATTTTGTATTTTATTCACACCGCCAACCGTACCGGTCTTAATGATACGTTGGCAGATCTAACCACAGCAGAGAAGGAGGAGCGGCCCATCAAGCACGCAATGCAGGTGCGGTCCGCTCTCGCCTTGGGAAACTACCACAAATTCTTCCAGCTTTACCTGGATACTCCCAACATGGGAGCGTACCTCATGGACATGTTCGTCGTTCGTGAGCGTCTCGCTGCTCTGTGCAACATTTGCAAGGCGTAAGTTTCGTCCGCCCGTCTTTCGCTCGCACATATGCTAATTATCGAGCAGATACAAGCCAGACGTAAAGTTACGGTTCATCACTGAGGAGCTCGGCTTCGAGTCCGACGTTGATGCGGCTCAATTCATTGTCGACTACAATGGTCAGCATCTTCTCGAAGAACGATCAGAGTACATCGCTCTGTTGACCGGCAAAGCCGGACCACTGTTCGAATCTGCGAGGACCGAAGCTTTCCGCAAGGTTGACATCAAAGGCCAGATCTGAGCTGCTCGCCCATCTTTCTCTTCTCATCACAACTTGCTCTACACCTCCTAACTCTCATCGTACCACCGACCTCAGGCCTTGCGCATGGCCATCCTTTCCAAACCTTTCCAACCCGTTCACATCTCACAAAAAGGACCTCTCGGGTACCCGAATTTCCTCGTAGACCTCATTTTTATTGTTTTCTCCCCCTCTCTCGATTGTCACTTCACCGCGCTTATTCACCATGCATTTCCTGCGACTCGTCGAAGTACCAAACCTCGTTGTTGGTTACGAACTCACGATTTTACCGATCTGCCTTTCTGCCCCTTTGCACGGCATTGACGCTTACGCATAGCTTCAAATAGCGGGATACCTCTCGGGGGCTCGTGGGAGGCAAAAGACGAACGAAACAAATAATCGACGACACTAGGCGGAGCTGCCGCTGGTGTTCGAACGATGTTGGCCGGCCCTGGGTGGCCGGCAGTTGGCTCTGGGGGCTTTCGGACTTGACCCCGGCTTGCCGCGTTGCAGCGCAGGCGAGCTGGAAGGCGTTTGGGCTGGGAAAAAGATGGACATGGCTGGGTTCAAGGATAGAAGGCGCCAGGTGTTACATCGGTTTTGGGTCTTGGGGCAAAAGGCGTTTGCATATACGTCGCTATATCACAAGATATCTGCTGAACTTGAGCTTGGGCAGCGGAGCGGTCCATAGTCTTTTCGACTTAATGCTCAAAGCATTTACTGTTACAATGGCCTCGAAGGTCTACATGGCCTGGCACCTCGTCCCCTGATCAAAGACCCCCCGTGATCATAGTTCCTGGGTTCAAGCCTCGTTGAAGCTGCTGCTACGTGGTCGCAGGAGCTATCGACCTGGTTATGCTTGCAATCCACGCTACTCAAGAAATCGTTCTTGCAGAGAAGAGTTGCTCTAAGAGTCAGGGAACACCTGGGCGGTTCACTTGAATCTGTTAGGAAGAATGAGCTGTATTGGCTGATGGGTTCTGCGCTCTTCTACTTTGATCCAATTTACTTCAGCAAAGAGGGAATGTAGATAGCATATACAGAAGAAAGTGGACGATCCCATGTTCGGTGCGAGAGCCTTCTCGTAGCACACTGGCCGAGCGAGTCCGACGTGGGGGCGTAACAGACCGAGCTTAGTGATACCACCCATCTGCAGTCCCGACCTCAACTATTTGGCGATGAAGAAGTGAGCGATGCACTGAACACAAACGCCCTTTCACTGTACGCGAGAAGAAAACCAATCTTTGCAAGATGCGGGAGACAGCTTGTAGGAAGTGCCTCCCTGCTCCCAGCGATGAGCAGGTTGCCCCAAACGGAAGAAATACCTGATCCCGCACGAGGACTTTCTTAGCAGCAGCAGCAGCGTGTTCTAAACTCTCGGACCGTCTGGACTGCCGCTGCTCACGGCCACAGCTGTCACTTTCTTGACAGACAAGCAGACACCCCCGGAGACGAACTCAGCATGAGCGCGCATGGTGTCCTTAGAGTGGCATCATCTTTCAGACTTTGCGTGTTCGCACTTGGGCAGGATTTCGGGAGCGCGGGCAGACGGATCTGCCCGACATGGGCCGAGAAGAGGGAGGGGGGAGAGGGCGCATCTGCCACCTCCAACTGCACTCATCCGAGAGGTGAGGAGCGTTTGCTTCTCCCACTCTCGCATGGCACATTGCAGTTTTTACCAAGGCGTACAGCTGTTTAGGGGTGCGTACGGATGACAAGTTCCGGCTGAAGAAAGCTCCGTCATGACAAGTGAACTGACTGGACAGAAGGAAGAGGGAGGGAAAATCTTCCTAGTGTATGAAAGGCTCGGTTCACCCATTTTCCCCGCGGTCCAGAGCGGTCCTTCCGAAAGATGAGCCAAACCTTACAGGCGCTCACTTTCCCAATCTTTGCTCGTTTTCCCCCTCACCACAGCCCCTCGACGGCACGCCTTGACGGCCCTGGTGATCTGCCGTGCGTGAGATATGCCCGTGCCCGCGACCCTTGCCCATGCCGGCGCTGGGGCGTTTTTGGAGAAGGAAGCTTCTGTTTGCGATGTGAATGGAAGCTCGCCTGTCAACTGATTCTTATTTATTTCTTGTGCTGTTTGATAGCCGGAGCGTTGTCAATAGGAGGGTGCGCTTTGATTGGCGATTGGCAGCCCGGGACTTGAGGGTCCTCAAACCCGGATTGAATGGGTTGACAGGGTGCCGAGCTGCCGCTGCAAGAACGCGATGCTTCCGGGCTATGTACGGTTGACCTACGATAGTTCCGGTGACCGGAAGGGGGGCCAGGAATAGACGGCCTGCCGGGCACGCCAGCATTTGCAATGATTGGCGTGGTACAGAAAAAGGCATAATTACAGATATTCCTGGCTTCTTGTCGTCTCTCAGTGTAACCATCCAGTATCATGGGCCACACCGCCGAACCCGGATGAAGACCGAGCTGAGCCTTGATATTGGCAGGCCTGCCAATATGTTTATGCCCTCTTCAGGTCGTGGACTCCGCGGAGCTTGTGGCCTTTGGACATAGTGTACAAGTGTGAATGGGAGTTATAGTCGAGATTCCGCCGTAATTGAATCCCCGATATCCCATCGCAAGCAGCTATTTTCGAACATCGCATCACAGATATCCCCGCCGGTCGCCGACCCGGAGCGAGCGTCTCCATCTGACCGGGGACTTAGGCATGGTGAGATTCTCGGCGGGAGGGGCCGCCGTGGACTCGCAACTCCGATGGAGTGAACTATTCGCGCGAGGAGCTGCATAGATCCAAGTGGCATGGTGCCGTCGCGTTGATGGGACGGAGACCCCGTTTCACCGTGCCAAGACGACTGTTCTCCGCGACCTCGACCTCCACATTCTCGCTAGGCCGCGGATCGACAACCACAAATCGGCGCTACGAAATGGTGTGGACGGGTTTGTTGCATGCCGACTTATTGTCGAACGTTTCGAAGTCAGGTGCTGGTCATGGCCCATCGGTATCATTCGATGGTCATGGATGTATTTGCCATATTCAAAAAAAAAAAAAAAAAAAAAAAAAAAAAAAAAAAAAAAAAAACCGTAACACGATGGCTCAAGACTTCAGTGTGACATCATGGCGTCCCGGGAAGAAGAGCTCGGCCATGCGTATGAACTGATGGTCATATCGAACAATTGTAAACGTGTAAGTCGTCATGCTGCTGGCGTATCTCTCAGTGAGACTGTGTGGGAGGTCTGGAGCTCCGGCTGATCGTGCAACAAAACCCCTTCTTCCCTCCTTGGTCCGTGGTGCTCTACCCTCGCCTCGTGCCGGAAAATTGTCAAGGCATCCCAAGTGGTGGTGAACCTGACTTGTCGATCACCAACCATAAATTCAGGGTTCCTCCTAATATCTGGAACTCGATGAAGAATAATCAAAAGGAAAAGACGCGTGCTCGATGCTGGCATTCCATTGGTGAAAGTCGTGACCTCTGCCCCGTTTCAGGCGACATGGGACGTCCAGTTTCAAGTTGTGTTGTGTCCGCGAACGGGACGGGCTGGATCCGAACACAGCTGCGGCATGAAGTTAAAGCTTGACCATATTCTTCGCATGTACCATAGTAAAGACTGGCTACAGACCCTAGATGTGGGTTCGCCCGCCGTTTTGTATTTGGAATCTCACACTCGCTATCGGTATTGGAGTGCCCTTGTTCCCTTGGGGAAGTGGGCTTCCTCCCCAGTCATGGTTGGCATTGGTCGTTGGGCGGTTTTCTGCTCACCAAATCGTGGGGAATGGTGGTGAAGGTTCTGGAAGGTGACTGACAACCACCGGATGCGTGACCACGGCACCGGGGAGCTGCGTCTTGATGCGGGACCAGCTGCGGGATGGCACGTTGGCATGGGGTCGGCACACAATGAGGCTGCGATGCCAACGTCCCAGCATACGTCATCCCCTGCCAAGAGCTTGAAATGCCATGATTGTGTGCAGTAGCCCAGGGTCGATAAACCTAGCCGCACCATGGATGGATGATAACGCAGGTTTAGAAGTGAGACCATGCGGGTAAGAATGGATTTAAGATATTTCCCGCTACTATCTTGAACTCCCGCCGCCGAGCTCCCGCATACAGGTGAGGGGCTGCAGAGATCAATAGGAACGAGACGACACCAGCGCTGATGTCAAGACTGCCACCTCCGTCACTCACTGGCAGAGCCAAGAGAGGCGGGGATGTGGTTCCTGAACCGTCCCGCTGAAACGGGACGTTAACAAGGATTCTTGCACCAGCCTTAGCGCTTTCTGTGCTAGGCGAAGCTAAGGCGACATCATAAGCACCAGGGGTGAACGAATGGAGAAGCAGCAATTTATTCGAAGCGTTGGAAAGTTGGGACGGAGAGAGAAGGCGCCGTCGCCGGGGCCGTCCTCGGATGAGGTCATTCTGAGGAGATGCGCATGGTTTCTGCCATACAAGGTACAACGCGGTCGCCGTGATGAGCATTCTGTAGAATGATACGGCGTTGAAGAGCCGGACTCTGTCCAACTTGAACTGGCCTTCATTTCAACAAGCCAGTGGGTGTCGTGTTTTTGTGGACGCGCGCGCCAAGTTGCTCAACCGACGCGCTGGCGCGTAAGCTGGTCCGCAACTTGTTGATCAATTGGCTGGGGCGTCTTCTAGCCCGGCCTAGACTTTGACATCCTCTCCAGGTTAGCTCAGAAGTACTTCTTTTAGCTTGAACACAAAGCACACAAAGACCAAGAGCCAACGGTAGGGCGAGATCGCCATGCCGTTAGGATGCACAATCCGATTAGGTTTCGGCCGCGTGACTGGTGGAGGTAACGCCTGGGAGAAGATTGGCGAGAGGGCGCATAGCAGTAGAGTCGCCATTAATGGGCGCTGTATCAGTCGACGATATTCGCATAACCAGTCAGAGACAACTGTAGAAAGATTCGCGATGTACCCGTAAGCTTGGCAAGGATCGCGTTGGATCCACGACACCCTTGCAATACAGCTCGGGATATTTACCATGGCATTCCTCGCTTGATGAACAGGCTTTCGTGATATTCAAACCTG